TTTACTATATGTGTGTGTGTGTGTGTGTGTGTGTGTGTGTGTGTGTGGGGGGGGGGGTGTTTCTTCCGCAAAAAAATTAGATTCAGCGTAACAATAATAGCGTAAACAGCATAAAGTAACTAGGCGGAATCTCATATTCAAGTGAAACATTGTGATTGGTCGGCGCAAGTTACGCTTACGCAAGTTACGCTGCATGTGACGGCACCCTTACATTGCAATGGAGTGGGGGTAATATGCTAGCTCTCTTCACTTTATGAAATTACAGCTTTCAGCTGAACTTTTTGCATCGTTCATCTTTTCTTTTTTTTTCTTTTTTCTTCAACAAGACTGCACGATTATACATGGCTATGTCTATGATAGCATTTTGTTCGCTTCCTGGATTTCTTGGAAAATATTAACATAGCGAAGAATTGTCACGTGATCGGTATATGAGATCAAAGAATCATGACATTTATTTTTTTTTCTCCATATACTTAAACTTTAGAAATAATTTTGATAAAGAAAAGATGTTGAACAATTGTATTAGTCTTATCTATTATTTGGACATATAATATAAAAAAGATTTATTTGTTCATATTTGTTAATATCTTTAAAATATTTATTTCGTAACTGTATTATTTAAATTAAAAAAATAACGCGAATATAGGTATTCGAATATAAGCGAGAATTGTTAAAATATGATGGATCAATTAAAAATGGTTGTTTTAGGCTGTGTTTGTAAATTCACTGTCAATACTGAAAATCTATAGTACACGTGACGTAAATTATACATTTTCGGTGGCAGTAAATTTACGGATACAATCTATATTGTGCTGAAAATGCTTTAACCTTTTAGTTTTGTTGGTCATAAGTTGGGTGTAAGTTTGTCACTTCTGTGCTGTCGAATGTTAATGTAAACACATAGTGGAGTCGTAGAGAAACTTGTGAAGAAAAAAAAGAGCATTAACGTGACAGTACATTTAAGATTGTTTCTATGTGTTAAAAGTAATTAACGCTATGTTAAAATGGAATTGGGACAGGAAATTATCGGTGGCTTAACAAGCATCCAAAATAGCAATATTTTACCTGAAGAAACATTTTTACAATTATTAGATGGTGTAATGTCATATATTTCTAAGAATATTAACAATGGAAAAAGTAAATAAATGTTACTTAATTTATGTTAAAATATTTGAATTTGAATATTTACAATTAATGTTAATATTTATTAATATTATATTTTTTGTAATAGGTATTTTTACTACTGTATATCCATCCAAGTCAGAGCTGATAAAGATTGCTATTGCTAATATATCTTGCCTCTTTATAGAGGCTGCTCGGTATGATTATGATGAAGAAAGTTTAAAACATTTCCTACATAATGAACATATTAATGGACAAAGAATTGAAAAGCTATGTAATACATATATAAATAATAAACAAGATATTCAGACTCAATTGGAATTAATAGGAGATAGCTTTCCACATATAGTAGATATAGATTGGCGTTTACATCATTGTGTAAAAGTAAGTTCATTATTGTTCAATAATGTTATATACCTTGATTCAATATAAAAATCATTTTGCATTATATATATTACATAATCTATATGTATGATAAATGTTTTTCTTCTATGCAGATTAGCACTTGTCGATCTGACAACATACCAATTTATAATATTCAAATGACTACAAGAAAATATAATCAAGTAAAACATGTAACATTTACATGTACTATACAACAACTACAAGAATTAGTATACAAATTGAAGGATATTGTAAGACATATTGAAAAAATATCTAATATATAAATATTTAATGAGTATATCATGTAATTTAGAATTACATTTTTCTTATTTGATGATGATTTGTAAGCGGAAGATAATATTCTATATGAATAATACACAATTTTATATAGGTGCAATCATTTATATTTTCGCATTATCAGTGAAGAGAATATCTTGTTGTAATCCGTATAGAATCATTATTATATTATTTTTATATGTTTATGTACTTGTATATGCATATACATACACATATATAAAGTTGATTCAAAATACAATGTATTTTCTATTCTGTAGCCCAGTATCTAAAAATTTATTTTTGTTAGACGAGAAAATACAAGTTATGGTTATATATCTTTTTAATTAAATATAGAATTATATTAATAATTCTTTTTCTATATTACTATGCAATACGTATTTTCTAATCATAATACATTATATACAAATAAAATTTAGTATATTTTTGTTAAAAGATTGATTTCCAATTTGTAAAATTATTTAGCAAAAATTTTCATTTTCATTTATGCTTCTCACAATTTATGCTCTTTTGCTCTTTCATTAATACACACAATTGTATGAACGGATAACAAAATGCATAAAAATGTTAAGAATGAAGAGGAGAGAGAGAGAGAGCGAGAGAGAGAATCATAGATAAGCAATATCAAGAAAAAAATAAAGAAATTTAGAAAAATGACAAAAGTGGAAAGCAAGAAATAATATAAGGAGGAAAGAATAGGGAAAGAAAAAAAAAGAAAAATATTATGCATTAGGACTAATAATTTTGCTTCCTTAAAATATTTTTCCATCTACGATGAAGTAACGTAATGATCACAGTATTTAATCGTCAACTAATTTTTTTATAATTATATCGCATATATCATTTTTTTATTATTTATCATTTTTATTGTTCCATATTAATTATTCGATATATAATAGGGTAAGGCCTCGGACATTTCACTACTATTAGCAGTCTTCGAATATTTTCAAAATTACCCTCAAAATCACGTTATTTTTGTCTCGATGATTGAAAATAAAAACTATAATTTAATAATACATATAAAATGAAGTGTATTAATCAGATATTAACTTTTTTCTGCCATGTCTGAGCAATGTTGATTAGGAATTAAAAAAAGACAAAGTTCGGTACAAATGTAATTCAATCTCACTAGATGACGTTTTAACTTTTGATTGTATAAAATAATATTTAAGCTCGAGCCTTCTTTTTATACAGTTTAACCGATATCATATTAAATATATATTAATGTTATATAAAAATATTACTTCAAAAAATATTCATCAAAAATATGTGAACATAAAAATATTGGAAATAAAATATTTTTTCAGATTATTCCATTATATAATATAATCCCATATACAGTTCTTTTTAATAATAATTTATAATACAGTTCTTTTAATAATAATTTAATATAAAAAAGGGCCTTTCAAAAATATTCAATGCTGCGGACTTTATAAATTTTTTTTCCTCAATCTTATATGATATAAAAATGTATAATTTAAATTTATATATAGGTAACATTATTATTAATTTAATTAGTTCAACTATACTTAATACTTTTTTATACACATATCTATATGTGCTCTCATTGTGTGGATTCCCTTTTCTATTACGAGTAACTATATGTGCACACATTCCATAAACATATTTTTCCATAATTATATTATTTATCGACAAAAGTGATTGTGACACTTTTTAGTTACTTAATACTAAGGAATAATTTGTATCTATTTAATATGCACAAGAACGCATATTATATGTTATTTAAGATATTATACTGCGTTATACATTATGCTATTAACAAATCAACAGCAAGCATATGCACTAAGAGATACAAACCATATAGCTGACTTAAATATATAATTTTAACGATAAATCTGTTTTTCAAGTGCTTAGTGCACAACTTTGTATTTATATCTGTGAGAAACGTATACTTTATTATATTGCAATGTAAATGTGTAATGAAGTAAGAAAATATGACATAGAGACTGTCCCACTTAAAACATATTACTCTTTTCCGACACACACACACACACATCCAAAAATATTACTTTTTTCATGTGTGTGAAAATAATTTCATATATAATTTAACAAAACATTGTGTAACAATTTAAATATCTTAATTTAATCACTTAATAAGAAATATTACAGAATTGTTAGAACTTATAAATGTGACAAAGAATCAAATTTGTGAATCAAAAAGACTCACGAATATTCGTGATCTTAAATAAGAATTTGTTTAAAATCCATCTGAAATGTAAAATATGTGATCGAAAGGAAATACATACAATAAAAAGTGAAATACGCCGTATACATATACATATCTATACATGTGTACATGCATGCTTATAACAATGAAAGAGGCTTATTAATATCAATATTAGATATGGAAATCTTTTCAGACGACTTCATAATTATATCATCAACATATGCTTATAAAGTAATGTATTCAACATAATGTTATAATAACTCATTTATAATAGAAAATTAATTAGATCTTTCTCAATTGCTATTTACACAAATATACAGATTCTTAACACGCCGTGAAATATGTTCAACAATAGCTGTAAGTGCTGTTTGTTTGTTGTACGATACACATGTTGTAAAAACTCACAATCTAGCTTTATAAACAGCTTATCTTCTGACATTTTTTTGCCATGATATTCGCGCAGATGTAAGCGCAATTTTAAATATCCAAATATATATATGTAAGATAGCCTGTTGTTAATAACTAATTTTAATTTTGCCAAAAATATTAATTAAAGAAATATTCGAATGAAATATTTCAAGAGAGATATATAATAAATGCTTGTGGTATAAAATTGACTTGATCTTGAAACATTTGAAGATCACTTTAAAATTTTTAAATAAAATTTCCATATTGAGAATTCCATTTTAAAAATTGATGGAATTTTCTCACACATTCTGTTTAAAAAATAATATATTTTAAAAAATAATAATATAATTTAAAAATAAAAAAAATTATTTTTTACACATTCAATTGATTTATTTAATTATTATATGCAAATATCAAGTAAGATAATAAATTAATATTTAAGTATTTCATATTTTGTGAAATGTCAATTTCATATTTTGTGAAATGTGTTTTATTTTTAAAATACGTCAAAATAAAGCGTAATTACCGCATTCATCGTTAATTTTAAAATAGTTTTTTAGTAGAAGAAGGAAAGCTACATCACAATATAAACACCCAAAAAATATAAAGTCCTATCTAAAAATTTAAGATGATCTTGATATAATTTTCGAACAGTTACCCAAAATCAAACCATCTAACACTCTCTTACATCTCTCTTGAAAGGCTAAATTTTGTACTTTAATACTTGTAACTTTTTTGTTAACTTCTGGCAAAATAAAAATGAGTCATTTACAATGGACTATATAAATATATATATGTATATAAATGTGTGTGTGTATTGTGTGTTTGTATATAT